ACCTTTTATCAGACATATGTTCTCAGTCGCTCGGTCATGTCTGACTCTGCCACCCTATGGACTGTAACCCACCAGGCTCCTCTGTCCAGGGAATTCTCCTGGCGAGAATACTGAGGTGGGTTGCCATTTCCTCCTCCAGGGGATCTTCCTGACCCAGGAATCGAACCCACAACTCCGATAACTCCTGCCTTGCTGGTGGGGTCTTTACCACTGAGTCAATCTACAGGATGGGGGAAATATTTGGAGACCATATCAGACCTGTTGTCCCCAAATACTTCCCTCATTCTGTAGATTGACTTTTCATTTTGATGTGCAGAAACTTTTTGGTTTGCTGTAGTTCTGCATGTTGATTTTTGCTTTTTTTTTTTTTTTTGCATAAGGATGGTTTTGATCATTGTACCTCATCCAGAAAAAATGGAAGGCGCAACATGGGATAAAATTGTATACAACTGGAAGTGAGATCAGAATTTTCTCTTCATTTCTTGGCAGATACAATTAATTCACAACAGAAGGAAAGCCCTCTCTGATCACGATCTAGATTTATGGGTTTTGCTTGTTAATAAATTTGCCTAAGCCGTGGAGGGGGAAATGAAGATGCTAGAGCCATTAATCTTATTCCATAACAGCATTCCCAGAACCTCAGTGAGAACTAAATGAAGTATTTTTGTTTTTTAATTTGTTTATTTACTTTCGGCTGTGCCGGGTCTTGTCGCTTCGTGGGCTTTCTCTTATTGCGGAGAGCAGGGGCTATTCTGCAGTTGTAAGCAGGCTTCTCACTGCAGAGACTTTTCTTGTTGCTGAGCTTAAGGGCCCGAGGGCTTGAATAGTTGTGGCTCCTGGACTTTAGAGCACAAGCTCAATAGGTGACATATGAGCTCGGTTGCTCTGCATGTATTATCTTCCCGGACCAGGGATCAAACCTATGTCTCCTGCATTGTCAGGCAGGTTCCTTACTACAGCCGGCCAGTGTGAGGGGAGCAGTCTGAGATGCCACCACGCCTGCTCCCAGCTCTGCTCTGCCCCTGGATCCTGCGTCCTCCTGGGGCTGCACACTTTACAAAGCCTGAAGTCCCAATTTTGTGCACAGGTGTGTTCTTGTTTGTAAAGGAGAATTTCTCCTACTTCATTCTCCTCTATCTTTGAAAGTAAGTGATCTCTTGACAGTCTTTCTCCCTCTGGAGTCGAAGAGAAGGAAGAAGGAATGACCTCCACCTATTCAAAAGTATTTGACTGTTTCAGTCTGTAGACATGATCGTTTTGCAAAGCTTTTTTTTTTTTTTTTTTGCCTTTTTTCACTTGCATAACATTAAGATTTGTTTTGCTTAAAACTTGATTGGTGAACTCTAGAAAAGAAAAATACAACAGACATACAAATTTTTCTTTCTGTATTTATAGGTAAACCACAGTGAATTACCTTTAGCATCACTGTTTTTCATGACACACAGGAAGGAAATGCACCTAAGGGTTTTTTTTTTCCTGATATTTCATCGTTAGCATAAAGAAATGCAATAGATTTCTGCATGTTAATCTTGTATCCTGCTGTGTACTGTGTCATGCTTAGTTCCACAGTCATGTCCGACTCTGCAACACAATGGACTGTAGCCCGCCAGGCTCTTCTGACCATGGGGATTCTCCACGCAAGAATATTGGAGTGGGTTGCCATGCCCTCCTCCAGGAGATCTTCCCATCCCAGGAATCGAACCCAGGTCTCCTGCATTCCAGGCAGATTCTTACCTTGCTGAATTTGTTTATTAGTTCTGGTAGTTTTCATGTGTAGTCTTTAGGGTTTTCTATATATAATATCATATCGTCTGCATACAATGACACTTTACCTCTTCTCTTCCAATTTGAATTTCATTTTTGGTTGCTCTGGGTCTTCGTCGCTGCCCAGGCTGTCTCACGAGTTGCAGTGAGTGAGGGCTATTCTTTGTTGCAGTGCACGGCCTCTAGACACACTTCAGTCATTGTAGCACACGGGCTCAGCAGTTGTGGCTCACAGACTTTAGAGCACAGGCTCAATCATTGTGGAGCGCAGACTCAGTAGTTGTGGCTCATGGGCTTAGTTGCTCCATGTCATGTGGAATCTTCCTGGACCAGGGATCGAATCCATGTTCCCTGCATTGGCAGGCAAATTCTTAACCAGTGGACCACCAGGTAAGTCCCCAATTTCAGTCTTTTATTTTTCATGTCTGATTGCTGTGGCTATTCTTCTGTCAGTCCTTGTTACTCCTCTGTGGGTAACTCAGCTTATATCTTTATCTTAGAGTCCTGTGATTATATTTTAATGCATATATGTATGGATTTTATTAATCCTGCTAAAGCATGTGGTACGCTCTTTCATTGTAAGTCTTTTTGGTTTTGTTTTTTGTTTTTTCTTCCAATAAAACTTCCTTAAAAATACTTCCCTGACATTCTGTTCATTCTTTCCTTATGATAAAAATCTTGTTGGGCACATACTGGAATCTTTCAGTGTTACTGCTATACTTGTCTCAAATCCCTTTTGTATGTTTCATCTTTTCTCTTTTTGTTGAATTCTGAGTGCAGTCCTTGACACTTATTCTTCTGGGGGTTGCTATGGGAAGACATCATTTCATTTGAATCTTTTTAATGGCTATGTTGTTTGTTTCTACATTTTCCATTTTTCATTTGGTCTATTCTTGTTTCACTTTTGCCTCTATTTGTTTTTATAATTTCTTGTTCTCTTCTATGAACAGTTTTTTCCTTTGTCATATTGTTTATGTTAAACATATGCTCATTAAACTAATTTTAGATGATTCTATTATTTGCCTTTGATCAGGAGTATAGTCATCTCATGATTGTTGAGTGACTTTCTGGGTTTTAGTGTTAATTGGATTTTTTCCTTTCAGGCAACACACTAAGAGGTGTATTCCTCACTCATTCTTTATAATGCTTCTCAGTTATCTCCTACAGTCCCTCAAGGCCTTCAGTTTCAAAGTAGCTCTTTCCCTGGCATCCCAGGATTTTCTCTCATCCAGCAATGGTTTTGGAGACATCCTTAACCTGGCCACAGGACCTGTGGGCTGCTTGGCCTAGGGCAGGCCAGGTGGTTTCTCTGTGCATCCTCTCACTCCTGAAGCTAGGTACCCTTGATAGTGCAGACAGTTTTTTAGCATCTTTTTATGAGTGGCAGACCCCCACCCCAGATTTGATTCAGGTGACCTGAACTCTGGTCTTCCATTACTCACAGTGGAGCATTTTTTACCCCAGTAGAATATGGAGCCTTTGCCCCTTCTGTTCCCAAGTTGAATTACAAAATTACTGCGACTTTACCCCTGTTGATCTACCACTGTGGTTCTCTGGTCTGTTTCTGGTCTAAGGAGAGGGTTGCTGTTGAGAAAGTAGCACTGGCATATGTACACTATCATGTGTAAAATAGATAACTAGCAGGCAGCTATTGTAACACAGGGAGCCAAACCTGGTGCTCTGAGATAACCTAGAGGGGGTGGGGTGGGGAGGGGGAGACTCAAGAGGGAAGGGAAACATATATCTATATATCTATATCTATATCTATATAACTTATTCATATTGATGTATGACAGAGACTAACAGAACATTGTAAAACAATTATCCTCCAATAAAACATAATAAAATAAAAAAAGAATATGGTATTTTTTAAAGTATCTATCATTGTATTCAGAACTGAAAATGTTTTTTAAAGCATGAGATCACAATGCTAAAGAAGTCCAAAGTACTTTATGTTATTAACAAGTATTGTTCATAGTCATACATATGATAATATATATGTGTGGTTTGCATACATTACATATTTGTGAAAATACTATTCAGTAGAATCATTCCCTTGTCTAGAAGTTTATGCTATCTTTTATTTTAGTCTAATAAAATAAAACTTTATTTTTTATCATGGGCTTCCCTGGTAGCTCAGACGGTAAAGCATCTGCCTGCAATGCAGGAGACGTGGGTTCAATCCCTGGGTCAGGAAGATCCCCTGGAGAAGGAAATGGCAACCCACTCCAGTATTCTTGCCTGGAAAATCCCATGGACTGAGGATCCTGGTAGGCTACAGTCCATGGGGTCGCAAAGAGTTGGACACGACTGAGCAACTTCACTTATTTTTTATCATAAATAACTTTTGGATTAGAGTTGGCCTTATAAATATGTGGAAGGTCACTTGGCTTATAATATGTGGCCACTCACCCTACCCAGTAAGGTCACTGGTAGGACGGTCTGTACCCCAGCATTTTTCTTATCTGCCATGATATATAAATTCCACTAAAATGATTCTTGTGGGTTTGATAACTTTTTATTTTTCCACAAGTATCTACTAAATGAAAATAAATTTTGAGTGCTGGAGGAAGGGGAGCTGATACATTTGCAACAGGGCCACCTACCAGAATAAGGAATTTTGCCAGTGTTACCAAGTCCCTGGATGGTGAGCCGGAAGTGCCACAAAGGAGTTTGTATGTTTTAAAAAGAGATGAGGGGAAAAAAAAAAAAAAGAGGTAAGGGAGGGCCAAAATCAAACTGTTCTTCTTCACTGTGTTATAGAGTTAGAAACCTTGCCACAATGATTCGTAAACTTATATAACCTTACTGTAAACGTCAGTGGAGAAAAGAGTTACTCACACCCACTATAACCATGCAAAGGTGTCCATAAAGGAAAGCAGGTGTAGTCATCCTTGAGTAAAGAAGGAAGTGAAAAGTACATTTTCAAACCTTATCATATTTACCTTCCCAACTGATTTAGATTGCGTGGCAACACTTAACTGTGATTGTACGCAGCCGATAATGGTGGTAGTCTGTCCCCAACGTTTTTAGAACATTCGCCTAAAAAAAAATATCTGGAGAATTGGCATCGTGACTGTGAAAGCTTATTCGTGTTTACCTTTTCTCAAACTGTCTTCTCCCCTACCCCTTAACTAAAGTCTGCTTCCTTCAGCAGAGGCAGTTTACCCTTGTAATTTTTTCCAATCTCATGTGTTCTCTCTTCTTTCAGCCAACTGGGCGCTGCAGTAGCTGCAATGCGAAAAAGGCAGCAGTCGCAGAATGAAGAAACACCTTCTGTGTCTCAGGCACCTGGAAATCAGAGGCCCAACAACACGTGTTGCTTTTGTTGGTGCTGTTGCTGCAGCTGCTCCTGGTACGTCCTCTTATCTGGGTGACACCGCACCTGAGCTGCGTCATAACTGCCCTGAACACACGTGTCAGCCCTTGGGACATAGACACTTCTCAATCTGTCTTTTTATTCCTTTTACAAGCAGCAGTTATGGGAGATGATCATTGGTTTAAGGCACACCTTTCCCTAAGCAAAATAGAATACTTCCTTGGAATCTACACTGAAATTGGTAGTAAAGAATGAAAAATTGTTTTGTATCATGACTTTTTCCACCCATGCTTCTTAAAGGTATGGGTAAAAATCAGATGGGTGGCTGTGTATTTTTTGAACAGTAAACAACATTCTCCCATATTATAGAAGGTGCCAGAACACTAAGGTAATCTCTAGCAGTATTGTATCCATGTAGTGTTTTAGGTCTATGTTCTTTCATGAGAGATTGACTGTTCTGTCGCAGATTTGAGTAGGAACCTCAGCCACAGACTACTAAAAAGGATAGAGAAAGAAGTGCCACAGACTCATGCCCACAAATCTAAAAGGCCAGGGGCTATGATGAGTATGAAGGTCAAGCCAGTTTGTTAAAAACTCTGAACTTAGACCCAGAGAACCTGTACCGTTGCAGTGTTGTCACTGACAACTTCTTGGACATTCAAGTTGTAATCTAGTTAAAGTTGATTCTCAAGGTACTGTCTAGTGCTAAATGTCCATGATTCGGGCACTTCAGAAAACCCGTTTCCATTCCAAATCCACAAAGTGTCTTCAAATAAGAAAATCAGTGGGACCCAGAATTCCGAGATTTACAAAGATGACCTCCCTTGGGAGGTTGGAGGGGCCATGCTAGACTTAATTTTCATAAAACCACATATTTCCATAGAACCACACATTTCAGGGTCCTGTAAGACCCAGTTCATAGCTGGATCTTCTGGGTTAGCAGTGGTCTTCTGGATCTCCCCGACCTGTTTCAAAACCACAAAGCAAGGCCCAGCTGGTGGACTCGTCTTCCTGGGCATGATCGCTACAGTTTCCCAACATCCTTGGAGGTTGGTCCTGTAATCTAGTGGCACAGAATCTATCGCAGTGGCCAAAACAGAAGATGAAACATGTGATGCTCCAGTGGCAGCCTTGGTGTTGAACACACTCCCAGCTCTCTGCTGCTGCTAAGTCACTGCAGTCGTGTCTGACTCTGTGCGACCCCATAGATGGCAGCCCACCAGGTCCCCCGTCCCTGGGATTCTCCAGGCAAGAACACTGGAGTGGGTTGCCATTTCCTTCTCCAATGCATGAAAGTGAAAAGTGAAACTGAAGTCGTTCAGTCATGTCCGACTCTCAGCGATCACATGGTCTGCAGCCTACCAGGCTCCTCTGTCCATGGGATTTTCCAGGCAAGAGTACTGGAGTGGGGTGCCGTTGCCCACCTCTCTAGGAGACTTCATTTCCAGAAAATTATCCTATACTGCAGCAATCTAGAAGGTTTAAAATAGTTTTTATAAATATCAAAATTGCTTCCCAGATGATGATTCCTTGTTGGGAAAAGTCATGCTACGATTCCTTTTTCTTTCATCCTTAAGCCTTAAATTAAGTATTTCAGATGGAAGAGAGTTCTAGAAGAGGAAAGTATTTTAATGCAATTGTGTAAATTTTTTTTCTGTCTCGTTCCTCAAGAGATCATCTAGCTCTGGCTTTAATCCATGAATTATGGGGGAGTGACTTAATATGGTGGTTCTGAAGTCAGACTTGTTGTTCAGTCAGTCATGTTCCACTCTTTGTGACCCCATGAACTGCAGCACACCAGACTTTCCTGTCCTTCACTATCTCCTAGAGTTTACTCAAACCCATGTCCATTGAGTCGGTGATGCCATCCAACCATCTCATCCTCTATCATCCCCTTCTCCTCCTTCCCTCAATCTTCCCCATCATCAGGGTCTTTTCCAATGAGTCGGCTCGTTGTATCAGGTGACCAAAGTATTAGAGCTTCAGCTTCAGTATCAGTCCTTTCAATGAATATTCAAGGTTGATTTCCTTTCGGATTGACTAGTTTGATCTTTTTGCTGTCCAGGGGACTCTCAGAAGTCTTCTTCAGCACCACAGTTCGAAAGCATCGAGTCAGCCTGCCTAGGTTCAAGCTCTTCATCTGTCACTGTCTGTTTGACCTTCAACAAGTTGCTTAGTGTCTTCAGATTTTTCATCTATCAGATGACAGTGATAAGAATCCCTACCTAATAAGGTCCTTTTAAACATTCAATGAGATAAAACACATACTAGCTGAGAACAGTGCCTGACCCATAGTGTGCATTTAATAAGAGTTGGTTACTGGGCTATGGAACATTTCATATTGGAAGAATAAAAACTCTTTAAAGAAGACCTAGCTTCAAATAATGCATTGTTTTTTAATGTCAGCTTGTGGATATAATGCCAAAAAAATTATTTTGGAAAGGAAAACTGTTTTAAAGTCTGTATAAAACATTGCAAATATTTTGTTACATCCTGTTGAGAATTAGACTTCTGTTTCTCACTTGCTCTGTGCCATGTTCCACTAATTAGTAATTGAGTGTATTTGCCTGCAGGAACTCATTTCTGAATTGCTTCAGTATTAAAATACCAAACACTGAAGTTTTGTAATCTTTGTTGTCAAACAGATGTTTCGTGCAGTTTGCTTTTATCTGTCCTTCAGATATTTAGCAAGACTTGCTTTTATTAATTCTTCAGGTGCACATTAAGCAAAATAGTCAATGAGAGCTCGTGAGCATCAGATTATCTCAGAACACAGACTGTGGATGGAGAACAAATTAGTTTTTGGAAGCTGCAATAACTCTCCACACCTCTAGGGTGACAAGTATTGGATTGGCCAAAAAGTTCTTTTGGGTTTTTACAGAAAACCTGAGCAATCTTTTGGCCAACCTGATATTTGGACCCTAAACCTATGGTGCCTTGGATGAGCATTCTATCAGTTTTAGATGAGAGAGCATTGTTGTCAAGAACTGTATTTGCTATCAGTGAGTCATGGATACCCAAGTCTAGGTCATAAAATGCACAGTCCATAAACGTACAAGTCTTCTTTTTTTGATAAATAATATGTAATCGCTTCTCAGCATTTTGGCTAAGATCAAGGTAGTAAGGAGGCTTCCCAGGTGACACAGTGGTAAAGAATTAACCTGTCAATGCTGGAGACGCAGGTTAATTCCCTATGTCAGGAAGATCCCCTGGAGTAGGAAATGGCAACTCACTCCAACAGCAAATGCCAACCCACTCCAGTGTTCTTGCCTAAAATATTCTATGGACAGAGGAGCCTGGTCGGCTACAGTCCGTGGGGTCACAAAGAGTCGGACACGGATGAGTGACTGAGCACACACAGGTAGTTTCTAATGTAAGCAACTATTTTTAAAAAAAAAGAATGAAACTTATATTGGATGTTAATTGGAACTGTTGTCTCTTCATAAATGGAGATGTCCTTTACCCATCCATTCTTTAAATATCATAACTTTTATACTTTGAGTTTAGGGCAAGAAATTGTCAAAGCTTATTAGAGAGGGAAAATAGAAAGAAATGTTCTTCAAGTTTTCCAGGCTAGGTCAAAGGAGTAGAACAAAAAGAAACGCTAAAAAATGTAATTTAGGTACAAAAAAAGTCTGACATAACCATCATTCTGAAGTAGGAACAGTTGTCATGTAGCTGATTTTACCTCCTTTTAAGGAAATAGAGTGCCACGAAAATAAATTTCTCTGTCTAGTAATAAATATAAATTCCTCACTCGAGTGTCCCATGTTATAGCTCTTTTAAACAACTTAGTATTTTCCTCAGATTTGCATTTCTCTTTCGCGTTTCATCGTCAGCTCCTCTCTCACGTTTAAATTTATTTCTGTCCTTATAAATTACCACTATGCTTTGTTTGGGGCAATGATCAAGGGAATAAATACATGACTACTGAATACTCCCATATTTTCCTTCAAAAATCTCAAAAATTAGGACTACTTCATGATGTCTTCTGTCCTTGTCAAAGAACCACTTCAGTTCCTTCCTCAAATCCACCTATCTCCCTCTTCTCCCCAGTGCCCCCCATTTCAAGAAGAGAAACCAAAGGAATGAGGTTTAGCCCCTTTAAGCTGTGTTACACAAACAAGCCACAGATGTCGGAGTCTTGGCCGTCACACAGCCAGCCTCTAAACTTGCAAGCCCTTCTGCACCGGGGACCCAGCTGTTCCCAGCCAGGACAGTGTTGTCAGGACCACACGTCTAGAGGTTCAGATTTCTCAAAACAATATTTCCCCTTATATCAGGATTCAAAAAGAGTGACCTGCCGCTTCTGGTAGTTAACCCCCTTCCCTTTTCTTGATGAGAAAGAATCCTTTTAAAGATGTGGACTCATTACGAAACCACTCACAGTGTGAATCCATGAGATCATGCAGACACCTGTGAAAGTGTGTTGCAGCATGCTAACAAAATGACGTGCCTCAAAAAGAAGGTAGAAAGGGAGAGCTTTCAGAATGCACTGCGAGCTTAAACCTAATTTCCAAACTGTTGCATGAACTCTCCCCTAACTCCAGAGGCTATACTAAAATAACCCAGACTTTTTTTTTTTTTTTAAGGAAATCTCTAGGTTCTAACCCACTTCTGTTTTAATTCTCCTTTACTCCTGGGGGTGTCCTAGCAAGCAACACTGATTTCTGTGTTTACTCCTAAAAGATGAGAACTCCACAGATTTCAGATACTATGTGTCCAGAATGTTCCATTGACTCCTCCTGCTTCTGTGTGATGGTGAGACGATGATTCCGGGGGTTTGGGTGAGGAGTGTCCTGGCTATGGTCCCAAGCTCCCCACTGACAGTATCCAAGGGAATGGTTCTCTATTTAGCTTTTTCACTCATCAGATTAAAATACAGGATTTTGTTTGAAAGAAAAATGGCCTTGCTAAAAACTAGTATTTGGACAATTGCATGTCTGATTTGACAGATAAGGCAACTGAGACTTGCCTGCTGTTACTAAGCTCCTTAAGAACAGTCCAGTTCAGTTCAGTTCAGCCGCTCAGGCGTG